TATGAGTAATAAATATTTGACACTCCTTGGCGATAGTATCTTGTTATCATTCATATATGAAATTAAGTTAGAGTTTTTTGAACATTTTTTTTATCGGCAAGCATCATAATAAATTTGTTGAGGTTAAAACTTATATTTACAAGTAGTCATTTAAGTATATAAATACTAACTTGTGAATATTATCTTCAAAAGCCTCACTCTTTAGGATGTAAATCTATGTATAATTTGTGATAGATTATTTAAGATATATGTGGATTTATCTTTTCATAGAAAATTTTGATATTTTTACAAATACTAAAAATTAGAAAGTCCAAATTAAAACTTAATCTGACAAAAGATGAAAACTTTATGTCCAAATAATGGCGGAAATTTTATTTTTGAGTAATTATTGAGTTATTGCAAAGAAAATATTTTTTATGATGAAAAAATGATTCACTATGATTCCATTTTCCAACAAAAGATGATCTTAAAAGTTTCAATTGAACAGCAAAATTTGTCTTCAATGCGTAATATTGCTCGTCAATCTGGAGTGGATGAGAAGACAATTTGGAAGCTAAAGTCCAACAAAGACAAAATATGTGAAAGAGCTAAGAAAGTAGATCAAGTTATTCATGAATCCACTTTTGTGCATCTCATGGAACATTTTTTGAACTCAAATGGAGACTACTCAAGTGGACTGAAGCTGCTCGTCGTATGTCACTTGCATTGACTCCCAATATTATTTTTCATAAGGCAAAAAATATTTTCTCTTCTTTAGAAATACCAGAGGAGTTGAATTTGAAGATCGTTTGGATAGTACATCAATATTTTTGGAAAAAACGGAGAAGTAAAAGAAACGATCTTGAAATTATCAGAGCTCTTGAAGAGTTGGGTTCTATTATAAATAAGTATGATCCATTTTACGTCTACAATATGGACGAATCAAGCTTGTTCTTTTGACTTGTTTCTCGCTATACAGTTTCTTTGTCAAGCAAAAATGTTTTGCTGTTCGAGGAAAAAAGAAGGCAAAAGATCGTGTAACATTTATTGTCTGCTGCAATGCTACGGCCATAGAGCGAGTATCAAATACCATGATTGGAGAAGCCAAACAATCAACGTGTATTGCCGGAATCTCTTCGCCGATTCCATGCATGCAATAAAAGAATGTTTGGATTGATGTTGAAACCTTTAACATATAGTTCGATGAGATTTTTGAGCCTTTTGTGCGGAAAGGCACATGCCATTAAGTGCTTTTAATTTTAGACAAAGCGCCATGTTATTTGAAACTGTTTGAGCAAAATAACATTAGTGTGGTGTTTTTTACTCCCAACGTCACGTCGTGGAAACAACCCATGGATATGGTAATAATTGCAACCATTAAAAATGTATACAAATATATAGTGATCAAGTACATCATCGCTTATCATGATAATCTTGAAGCTCTTAAGGAGCAATTGGACTCTGTTGCATCAAAATTGAAATGGGGTGATGTTGGAGTTGTTTACGGCATGATGCCTCATTTGCATGACGTTGCTAACTTTGTTAAAATTGCATGGAATGACATCTCAATGCAAAGTTTGAAAAATTGTTTCACAAAAGTTGATATCATTTCCAAGTTTTGTAATATCAACGATACAATCATCGAGGATAATGATTTTGACAAAATTGTGGATTTGTTCCAAGGTTGTTGCAAAATTTTGAATGATGCCGATGATTCAAATCTCCGTGCTAAGATCCATCTTCGTTTTGACGACAATGATGATGAATCCGACTTCTACAAGAATGTTTTTATTGAGTAGATTGAGTATGCAATGACAGACGATGTCATCATTACTGCTGAAGAGTGATCAAATGACAGAAAAAAAAAATCTAGTTGCGAAGCTTTGAATATGAATGAAGCGTCATTCGACCAGCGGTATGTAATCAATGACTAATTACTAGATGTTGTCAATTTGAATATTTGTTTTAATAATCTTCAGACGTTAGCAATTTTGTCATTAGAGCAAATTTTTCAAGCCAAATCAACACTGTTCACACTTCGCTGCATCATGCAAGGAGGCCGGGCGGCAATTACTCGCAAGGTCATGACAAAGAGGTGTCAAATGACTCTATATGACTATATGCATTGAAAAAGTTATAAAATGCTGATACTATTTTTTTGAAAAAATTATGAGGACTTAAGAGAATGTTTATTTTATTTATGTCAAAAATATATATCTGTGAGATTCATAAAACATTCATATGCTTTAATAATGAATTTGTTGTATATTATGAACTAATTTTTTATAAATGTATGTTATTTTGGAGATAAAGTTTTTATCTATAAGACGTTCATCGAATAGAAAATTCAGTATAGGTGATAAAAAACTTTTTATGAATTCAATTTTGTATACACAAGAACCAAAAAATGCAAAACTTAGTTTTGAAATTATGAAAAAAATTGATTAATATATCTTATATGTTATTCTATCTAATCTGTTTCTTATTTTGAAAATTTTGATGGTTCATGTTGATGTGCATTTATTTCAATTCTAGTTGAAAAAAATATTAAAGTTAATTTAAAATAACATGATTAATAAATTTAAATTATTAAATTAAATTTGGTTTTAAAATTTTATATGATTTGAAAATTTATAATGAAGATGTCTAAGATATAAATTTCTAAACCAGTATTCTTTAGTGATTTAAATTTATAAAATTTCATTGTGTTTAACAAATTTTCACGTAAAATGTTTGTAATCAGATAAATTAATGATTCAGAAAATTAATTTTTCAGGAAAAATGACATATGATGTTAGTAATATAAAACAAATTCACAAAAATATCAAAATTTGAAAAATTGATACTTTATGTTGAAATGGTAAAGCAAAACAGATTATAAAATCATGTAAAAAGTATCCAAATCAACCTAATCAAAATATTTCACACCAAAACATTAAAAAATTCAAATTTCTATTGTAATCATATTTTGTTTGTTAAACACCAAAATAAACTTACTCAAGATGGAGACAAAGTTGCATTATATCAAATTACTTGTAGTCTTTTTTTAGCAATCCGTGTGCTTATACATCAAATATGTTAAAAAAATTTGATAAATATATTAACTATAAAATTGCTTGTATGTAAAGATATGAATTATTTGGCATATATCATGAATTCTGTTTATAAATAAAAGATGATAATTAAAATAAATGCAGAAAAATCTCAAATCAAATTATTAAAAATTGTAACTTTTGCACAAGCCATTAAATAAGCATATTATTGAATTATAAACTTGTATATGATCATATACATATACAGGTCTTGTAAAACGTGTAACAATGTTGGAAACATCATCTTGCTAAAAATTTTTTGATCATGTAAAAATTAATTTCTTCATTTATGACATGAATAATTTTTCTTAGTAAGAAATAAGATAAAAAATCAAAAGATATGTAAAAGATTGCATGAGGTGCAAAGAAAAAATATTTGCAATAGAAAATAATAATGTTGATTAAATAATAAAAAATTATATTGTGTATCATTATGTATCTTTTAATTAAAAACTGTTATTAATATTGTATAACCTAAAGTTTTCATAAATAAATTGAGCTAGACAAGTCATGTTAAGATTAAATGTAATAAGAAAATTAATATCGCTTGTAACTATAAATTTCAGTCATAGAGTTAATCTCATCAATAATCAAGTTGATAATTTTCATAGTTTGTAATTAATATTAAGATGAATAGTTTATTAGTAACATAATCATATTTTAAGGAGTTCTGTGCCATCATTGTGTTAAAAGAAAATGGAAATAATTGCAATAAGATGATTCTAGCAGAAAAAATTAAAAAAAAATATTCATGTAGATTTAGATATTTTAAAGTTCATGGTAAAAATAAGTAAAAAACTAGGATGGATAACCAAATTAAAAGTATCAAAAGGAGAATTGACATACTAACGATCATCGCTATCACAATAAAATGTTGATATTTTAACACTAAGTTACATTACTTTTTCTCTTACTTCTGTATTATGCATTCTCTTCTTCAAGAGGATGTACTATTTGACCGGAACGGCTCGAGCCCAAAAAGGCACGAACATGTATCTTCCTGCGTGCCAAAACAAGTCAAGAAAAGGAGTCCTGCAAAACGACTGGAAAATGGAAGCGAGAGCGAACCCTAGACACCAAATCTATCCGTCTGTAGTCCGGAGTCCGTAGCGGTACATCGTTGACATTGTATGGTCAGTAGGCACCGTAGGCTAGCTATCGTCCATTGTCGTCGATTCCACCGGTGCGTACGATCTGACTGGACTTGACCAGGCCCGGCCCGACCCGGCCCCACGAGGACGGTTGCCCTACGATGGAGGTTTGCTGTACAGATCCAAACGGGGAGTCTTCCGTCAACGCACCACCTCCCGGGAAGGAAAGACCCTGCCGGCGACGGGGACCGAGGACTCCCGGCGTGGTTTCGCGACATTCGAACCGTGGGGCTTGTTCTCGAGAAACTCCCGGGAAAAGTGTGCAGATTTCGGCGGGAATGTGCGTCCTCGGAGACTCTGACGGCAAAAGCCGACCAACATTTTCTTTTTCCCGGTACGAACTGACAGGCACTCGATTGGAGAAACTTCACCGGCAGAGCGGCAGGGGCCCGGGAGGCCTTCCGAGAGTAGCCTCGGAAGGCCTGTCCTGTCCTTGTGTGGACGAAGTACACGGGTGCAGCAAAAAGGCTCGGGGCCCGGGGCTAGGGTTTTGCGAGGAGGGGAAGGGGGCGACGTGGCCTATGGAAGAGCAGTCATGACGGCGTTCGAAGCCTCAGCCTTGGGATGAGAGCTACATTGATGATGAAAAGCGAGTTCTCGTCGTGACTCGTCGACGGAAAGTATTGTGTAACTCCACATGAGAAAAGTTTTAATTTAATGCACGCGAACTCGATGCCCGGGGGCCACCAGGGACGCCGCGAGGGGCTGGGCTGAGAAGCTGGGGGGGTTGCGAGAAGGTGGAAATTATACGTACATTCTTGACAACCCAAATGGAATACGCCATACATCTTTATAGATGGAAAGGGCTCTCGTACATGGCTTTTTGACGAGAAATCGGTCACTCCTCAAGGAACCTTTCACCTGCGCTGTTGCAAAGTCACCGGCTTCATCATCATGCGCTTACCAGCTCGCTCTCCCGGTCTCCCCCTTTCGGCCCTCTCTCCGTCATGAGTTGTCAAATCTCTGCTCTTCGTCCCGCTTTCGTCGGGCTCCGACGCAGCTAGTAACGATTTCGTTCCTCCTCTCTCGCTCACTTCATGTAAACAATGCACTTCCGAGACGGAAAAGACATGGCGTCACCTGCACCCTCACCCTCGAATAAATACGCTCGACATATCATATTCGTCCCGACTCAGCAACATGCCGTAGATTCGAGCATCTGCAGCGATGGAATCGCTCGGCCGCTGCAGTGGCACTGAGCAAATCACAAATCACGATCGGTCGCTGCCCACGGCAGATTCCAGCCAGCGAGCGCTGGCTTGTGCACCGCAGGTTCGCCACATTGCGTGCGAAAACTCCGAGAGCGTCAAATCGACCAAACCAAACCAAACCAAACCAACTCAAAGCGGCAGCAGACCAGTTAGTTGCCACAGATCGACCTGTATCATTCCTTACGTCCATAGTAAGCTGCACCAAAATCCCAGACCATGATCGCTCGCGTAGAAAAGTGCTGACGATCTTCAACTTCCGTGCGAAAAGAACGTGCAATTTCCGCTGTCGTTCTATTTTGAAGGATGTTCCCCTACGTAAAGAGATCCGCGCAATGGGCGCCCGCCAGGTGGCCCAGGTCATCGCTGTTAGCTCCAAAGTCACAGGGGTAGGAAGTCGCCGGGCCAGGGGGCTGCGAATGCCAGGGCGACGTATGTACAGGGACCGTATAGTATTCGAGGTTCGGTAGTACGTCACGGGGCTCCGTATGGCGAACCTTCAAAGCCGATGGTTCACGTCCAGAATACACTCGTTGAATATTGAATCTTTGGGGCCAATTCTGTGTCTCGATGTGTAGATAACAACGATATTTTCAACAGCCCTGTGATGATGGCCTTCCGGGCCTAGCTGTTATGATATGATACTACTACTTTTTAGCTCGACGTAAAACTTTTTCGTACTGTACACGTGTTGATCTAGATGCTCGGATGATATACTCGCTCGGGTCTCAGTCACAGCGACACCATAATTAAAAGTGCCCTAGATTTTGCACTGCAAATCCACGTTCTGTACGTCCTGTTCCATGATTTCTCTTCTCGATTCCACTGCCATCCGCAGTAGCTGCAGCTGCAGAGCAGAAAGGCAGATCTCGCAGTCCAACAAATCAAAGATCGACCACCGGGCGCTTAGCAACTTTTGAGATTTCCTCACTCATGAATCACTCACCGTTTTGGTCTCAATCGATTGCTTCCTTTCTCATCCCGTAGCATCGCTGGCAGGAACGGACTCTAGGACTTTACCCACAAGAGAACTCCTGAGACTCTACCTGTCCACGAGGTGTCCGTAAGACACAGCAACATCATCCTTAAACATCATAAATTGACCCACAACAAACCCATGCCACCAACAGAGAGAATTTCTCATCTTCCACGCCCCACGGTCGCGAGATGCACATAGACCGAGCCTGAATTTCATCTGAATTTCCCACGGCGTGCTCGGCTGGACTTCAGAGGCGATGCGGGCGGAATGCGAATCCGCTGTTGTGCTGGACGCCCCGGACTGTGGACATTCGAACGTACGAAGACAGTCAGGTGCCATTGGACCTGGCCGTGATTCGTGAACGGAGTCCAGTGGAGAAACAGTCTTCGCTTGCGGCCACCACTTTTTCCCCCTATTCTCCTGGACACAATGAATCACAACAGTGGAGCCGAGCGAGCGATGGCGAAGGACACAGTGGGGAATATTAGAGGATGCTGGAGTATAACGCCCTCTACGCCAGCGCATTGTGCATTAGCCAGCGTTGGAATCTCCCAACCGTGCAAGAGACCACAGGATGGTACAGTGCAAATGTCGGCTTGAACGATGCAGATGCGGTGCGGATGCGTCTGTTGGTACCACACTGGGCTGGCCCGGCTGGGACTCAAATCTTCCACAGTGGGTCAAAATGTCTGTTCATCTCCGATCCTGTTCAATTTTCCCAAATGATTCGACCCGAATGTTATCGTGCCCAACTGGATCAGTTCTCATATTCGCGACCTGTTCATGGTCTGAAATTCTCTGTCCTTTCAGAGAAGGAGCAATCTGAAGCAAGGGCTGCCGTAGAAGCCTGTAGAACGAAATCAATCATGATCACTACCAAATTGTCAGGACCTCTCCCATATTCTCAGTGACCGACCACCCCTCGGCTTAAACAACCATTTCGCTAGCCACCTAGCGAGCTCAGCCGAAGTCCCATCGTTCGTTCCTCGGTTTCCAAGCAGTCCTGAAATTGATGGACAATTATATCCGTGATGGAAATGTGTATACGTATGGCGGTCCTGCTGGAAGTAAATAAATACTTCTACATCGTGCGAAAGTGTATAAATGCTTCCTTGGGTACGTGCTTGTGCAATATGTGTACTATCTTACAGCGTATAAGGTCGGTATCGTCTGCACATGTCGCATGATAGAACGTATTTGCACATAAGAAATTAGAAATGTCAGCCTCCTGGGGCATTAAAGTGATGGATAGCTGCAGTAAATTGATTTGATCAAGGAGGACGAGGACGAGGACGAGGGGTCATCTGTACACAGAATGTGTGTGAGTTTTGTTTGCAAACAAACACTGGGGGGCTTGACCTTCAGATAGAGCTTAATCCGGGGTGATGGCTGGGCGAAATGGCTGCTTTGTGGTCGCTGGTAATAACCTACGATCCAGCGGCTCGATCTTGGGACTCTCCACATCCCGGACTGTTGGGGGGCATTCTGTTCATGAGATTATCATCACACATGACGCCTCTCGAAATATTAAAGCCCGAAAAGATGAGGACTCTCTGCAGTTCGCCAAATTCGAGCATTGTACTGCATGTGAAAAGTAGACCTGACCGAAACTCGCCGGGAGACTTGATTGGACTCAGTGGATCGAGAAGCGAATCCGGTTGACAGCGCTTTCGCCATCCGCTTCTATTCATTCTCGGAACTGGGAATCGGTGCACCCTCTTTCAGGAGAGAGAAGTGAGAGTGTGTAGAGTCCAGTCCGAGTCCGAGGAGTTCTGTAGTACACAAAATCGAGAGGTACATGCTGAAGTGCTGACGTGTGCACGCACCAAGGAAAGAAGGGATGAGCAGAACCATCCCTCCAGCTCGTCAAACACCGCGTTGAGCTAAATATAAGTCGTCACAGTTCTGTTGAAGCATTGAAAGATGGAACGCAGTCTTCCGACGGCTTATCCGTAGTGGAATCCGTTTGCGAGATCTGAAGTTACTGAATATAGGCGATCGAATGTTCCTGACAACATGAGAAACTCCGTCGGAGTCTTTCTCAGGGTTGTGTATGGTCATGGCCCGTAACCAGATTCAGGAAAGACCGCAATAAAATATCAGCATTGTCAGCATTTCGAAGCCTCCCATTGGCCATCCGTAATCACAGTGCGTGGTTTACCCTTCGTGTTCCAACTCCCATACGTTTTCTAAAGATCGCTTATCGTGACGACGAGTGGTGTAACTCTACAGAAGACAACCTTTGACAACCTCTCAAATGCCAACTTCGAAATTTAATCACTTTTAAAGGACCCGAGCATCCACGACCCCAATTTATGTGTATCTCCATGAACAAGCCAATAACCTTAAGTAACTTCAAACTGGAAATCCATTTTTTGAAGGGTGAAAGTTTTGCTATTGGATTTGGTCTTTAATAACCAACCATTTGGATAATTTCATGTACTTCTCCTAAGTACATGAAATCATAGGGGAACTAAGATCTTTAGTCTTACGTTTTGATATTCTCCTATAATATGGAGTATGAACCCCACAATATTCGCTATGAGGTTGACGAAAGTAGGAGACGAAGTGAATATGCTCAAAATGCCGTTATGCTAACATTGTCTTCTTCTATTGGACATTGTTAAGAAACGCACTAGTCGATTTTCTGTGATCCGGATGTTGGACAATCGCTTACGACTCGGCTGGACAGAAGCACCTTCGAGTCAATGGTTTGTGTCTTGGAAGACTTGCACACCACTTCCCGTGGTCTTGCAGTCCGACGCCTGGAGAATGTAGAATGAATGATGGGAATCTAGATGATGGGAATTGCAGCTTTGTCACAAGGCTGGGCGAAATGTGAATCTTCGTATGTCATGGTTGTGATGGAGGATATACTTTTGAAAGGCATTTTCATTATGATGAGAAACACATTGCGGTGTGTCATCACGCAATGGATTGGAAAAAAGTTTGGATCACTTCCGCAAACTCATCCAGATGGTCGACAACACATTTAAGAACCTATCTCCTGAGTTTCAGGAGAAAAAGACGTAAAGTTCAACCGCAGGGCTCTGATATTAAACTGCATGATTGGGCACGGTCACATCATTCGCAGTCTGAAAAGAAAGGAGTCAAATTCCAAGAAGAAGCAGATTTCTCTTGTCCTCGTGCTGATATCTCCTAATGGATTGGATTATGCTGAATGTTCTCTCAGCGCATCTGTATTCTAGTGGCAAATTTGACTTTCGGAGGAGATTTTCAGACATGCCTTGCGTGCCAAAATAGGGAATTGGAACGACAAGGATTCAAATATATTCAACTCTTGTACGTGTGACAAAGTCCATTTCAACTTCGTGCCTTTTCCCAAAAACACCGACCACCACTTGGAGCAACCACTCCAAATCATACGCAGAAATTGCTTCATCCCGAAGCCTAGGTTTAGACCTGAACTCAAGCTAGACATCACAAAGCATGTATGCAATAGCTTGTTTCATCTCCGAAGGTTTGACACTAAGTGATTCTCGTGAATTGTCCGGTTGGTCGTATACGGCATCGTGCATCGTCCGCACGCGATGGAGAATTTCTTTTGGCGGAAGGAAGAAAGTCCAACATGCTGAATTAGATGAGGAGTTGAAAACCAAGTGGGACTGAGGAAAAGAACATCACTTTTGATGGCGGCCCGAGAAGAGCTTGGAATGTAATGTGTTGAACGCGTCTCGCCAGTGAATCTTTCCACAAGAAACCATCACCATCTTGCATTGATGCATTCAATTAATGGGATTTAGCTGTTGTCCTGTTGGCCTAGTTGCTTGTCTCAGGTTGACCTAGAGGCTTCCTATGCAACAAAACCAGAGCCAACACGGGCTGAGATCCTGCTCATGCTAACCGGAAGTGACCAAATATCATACTCTTGGGTATGCTGGCGAATTCACCGATGTTGAGATTCTGTGGTTCCCCTGGTGCACTAAAGGATCACGATGAAAAAGTCTACTGTTGTTGGAAGGTAAAGGTCATCGAGATCTCAAATGTCTCTTGCAACTTTCATCTCAACATGTCACTGGCTTCTACTTTCGCAGCCTACACCAAAAACAGAACATGCTCATGCAGGAACAGGTTTTTGGTGTCACATGGCTTCAGAACCATCTACTGCAGACATCTTATTGCTTGTCGCATTCACACGGGCATGTTTTGTTTTGTGTCTCTTTGTTCGGATGTAAAGCCAGCATTTCCCCAAAAGCACTCCAGGATGCCAGATGAGGTCAGGCGGTTCCAACCAAAACTTTCATGTGGATGAAGCGCAGGCAGGCGACCAACGCCGAGTAAGAATTTCGCCAACATGAATTCACCCCGATTAAAGGCCAATCTTCCCACGGGGGGTTGGAAGAATGAAACAGAGAAAGCAGTAGACGGTGCTCGTTTGTCAGCCCCCGGAGTCGCCCCTGGAGCCACAGTGGTGTCTGGAGGTTCAGTTCACCTTGCACCGGCTGACCTGCCGCTCCCCGTAAGTTCATGAACTAGGAGAACTGAGCACACGCAGATCTGGATTCCAGGAGAAGGCGAGCAGCTATTCCTAACCCTCGCCATCTGAAGTGATGATGGAACATGGGCTGGCCGAGATGGAGAGATTGCAGGCTCATTAGTTTCGACGTCCACCTAAGCTAAGTAGGCTTCGGTAAACGCTTGTCTGCTTCTGCTACCCCCGAGCTCCAGGGGGATGGGCCTGTTTGGGCATTGTTCAGCTTGTCGCCGGTCCGATCGATCCGATTGATCCTCCTCCCAGGCTCACGACGGACTTATCTTGCCAGATTCGGCGCTGCGGGCTCCGAACTCCAGAGCGGAGCCTGAAGCCGTGAACGAGAGGTGGAGCTGTGCGAGTTTGGAGACCGGGTGGGGGAGGAAGAGGACGGGGATAGATAGAAGAATAAGTTATGCCGAAGGCCGATCATGAGGGGGGTGGGGGGACTAGTACTGTAGGCGTGTACTTTAGCTGTCTGATTGAGCCTGCGGGGGCAGAAATGGGATGAGATGAGATCTGACGGCACATTTGGCGGAGGGCAGGCATGTGAGCCATTACCACTGCTGCCAGAACGAAACGCAGGGCAGCATCATGAATAGAAAGTCCCGAGTCCACTTGGGCTAAACCTGCACTCCACCCTCGCTATAATAGGGCGCACAGCGTCCCTCGGCTTTGGGTTCGTGGAGGCCTTCTGGCATCGGGGTTTCGAGGCCGATTAGAGCTCGGCCCGTAGTTATTAGGTGCTAATCCACCTGTTCCTAAACATGTATCTGTCTAATAAGACGATGTTCCTTTAGATGTATCTGGTCCTCGCCCTCGAGTCTTCGCCCTGTGACCACACAGGCCCGGGAAAGACCAGTCGCCTCTTGTGGTTCAGTGTTGCGCGAATTTTATATATTTTTGTTCGAGTGGGGTCTACAGTTTGATTATGAGCTAGGGGCTTGTAGACAAGCATAAGGACAATCTGCCACAATTCCCTCACGAGAGCCAAAGTAATGTCACTCTTCGGGCCCATCCAGTGAAAGATGCTCATGCCATCCATTGTCACGGATCTCGACGATCTTCCTACACGTGTCCCCGGGTGAGCTCCCCGGATTTTCATCCGACGACTTTGGTTCTGTGATCGAAAAATTCCGCTCTGACTGTAGGAAAAGCCAACGTGTGGGAGACGAGAGTGTTCTTACCGAGAGACGGTGAAAATCTCTCGGATAAGGGTCAATCAGTCCTCGCAGGTGCTTCTCAGAGCTCCCGAGTCTCGCCTTCCTCCCCACATATCGTCGCGCTAGATTTGGCCCCGGTCCGAGCAGAAACTCTCTGAATGTCCTCCCCGGCAAACCGGCTGCATTTCCAGCCGGTTCGGGCTCAATGAGCTCCACCCTGAGCCAAAGCAATACACTCCCACTACTACTACTACTACTACTACTCCACACTTCAAGTCCAGCTCGAAGTCAGGGCTAAAAATCTGCCCAGCTGTTCTGATGACAGAGTTAAGATTACCTCTGACTAACACTAACACTAAATAACACTTCGAGGTCAGTGGCTGACGGCAAGCGATTCAGATGCAAGAATTCTGCTGTGTCTGGGGCATGTGCAACAAGTCCTGGTCAGATATTGTACGCTCGCTCTAATCAACCCCCACACTCGCTCGCTCGCCATTTGACCTGACCTGCTCTGCGGCTAGGCTTTGTCTTCTTCCAGCTTTCTTGTCTTCCCGTGTTGTTTATTCATCGTGGCTGGAAATATATTTGTCCCCACCTGCAGTCAGTCAGCTCGAAAGATTTGCATCAGGATTCCCTGGCCACATTGTGCTCATGCATGCAGTGCACAGTAGCCCTAAACCGAGTCCGTTACATTGCTTTACTCCGGCCAGCGAGATGAAGAGGAGGAAGAGGAAGAGGAGGAGGAAGAAGAAGAAGAAGAAGAATAAGGAAAAGCCGCAGACGTAATAGCAAAAAGCCCAACCCAACGTAAGCATGGGATGAAAAGCCGACGAGATGACTTGCAGGTTATGAGCCGAGAACAGTGCAACTGCAACTGCAACTCACTCTCAACTGTAGAGAGCTTTCGGAACCATTCGGGGCCTGGGGCTTGTGGGGAGGGGTTGGGTCGGGTCGGGTTGGGTTGAGTTGGGTGAGGGGGAGATTGGCTCAGAAGCTTGACATGGGGGGCAAGCCCCATCAGGCGCGAACTTAGTGTAGGAAGCTGAGACACAGAAAGAACGGCAGCGCCAGGGGAAGGGGGAAGGGACCCGTCGCTGATCACCGGGCCACTGTGGGCGAAAAGTCACTGCTCCGGTGAGCTACCGGCGGGCGGTGGCTGGACATCGTGAAGGCAACCGGGAAAACAGGACGACGTGGTGGTGCTGCAGCAGGATCCGGCCCCTCCGCACTCCGCTGCGGCCTACCACCATCACTGTGGACGCGCAGCGCAGGGGGCCGGGGCTCGGCCTACATTACGCTTTTGCGCATCCATCCGTCTAGGCATTTGCTCTCTCTCCCCGACTCTCACTCGCGCTCTTCTCCGCGCTCGCTCTCGTCGCCACCACCACCGCCTCTCCTCTGCACCCCCTCAGTCTCTTCTCCTCTGCTCTATCTCCCTCGTGTTCCACTTCCGGTGGACTGCCAATTCGCCACTGGCCTCGTCTGTGTCAATCGAGGAAGAATAGAGCAGAAGGAGAAAGAGAGTGAGACGGTTGATTGGATTTGGTCTGGATGGTCTGTGGACTGCGGGGTTCTCGCCTCTGAGGCGCTACGGACTTGAGATGCGGTCACGCTCGTGGATACTAGGTGTGTGCTCAACTCCCAACTCCCGCACTTCATCGCACTGCACTGCTCTGCACTTCGCTCCGGTTATTTATGCGTGCACGGGAGGCTCCGTCGTAGGGACAAGGATAGGCTATGGTAGCGCAGCGAGCGAGGACGTGCTGGCTTTGGTTGGGTCGGTCTGGTTTGGCTTGGCTTGTTCAGTTCTCGGCCCTCGGGCTCAGCGTTTAGTTCACAGTATCACCTGATGAAGACCTCACGCACGAAAGGGCCCAACTGCTCTGCAGCCGAGCGCTTCGGCATCAGTTCACGATTCGACCCCCGTGTGCAATTCATTTCCACGCAGCGTTCCATTGCGTCAGCTACGGCTCGAGGGAACAGCGACTATTTAGTACCGTGACGAGATGAGCGTGCACCGTGGGAGCAATTGCATCCCAGACCACCGGTTCACGAGATGTGGACTTCTTCTCACACACCCGACTGCCACTTAAGATACAAGCTGTAGAACGTACTTTGCGCCTGCCTGGCCTCAGCTTACCTGGTGGTTGTGTCGAGCACCACCTGCATCTTTCAGCCCATGGGGAACTCAACCGATCTGAGAATGTGTGTTATCGTCACGTCACGAAAGATGTCGGTCAGTCTGCCGAAATGCGAGTATGGCCGAGTAGTATTCGTCAGCGCAGAGCCGGAGAATGATGCACTCTTCTTCCGTGCTGCAGTGCTCCCCCCACCCTGTAAATTGCTCTCCATTTCTCCTGACGGGCTCTTGGGAGGCCCGTCGCTGCCCCTGCTTGCCCACGCCGATTGCAGTCGAGCCGTATCCCTCGTCCGCCCCGAGGCATTGACGCCCCCGGCTCTCCGCCCATGGCTCCGGGTCTCGGAATGCCTTTTGGAAACTCCTACTTTTCCGGGCTGATATCGACGCGTCTGTAATTACTCTCGCTTGACTACCGGAGGGCTGGGGTTCAGAAGCTCTGGGGTCCATTTGTCGTCTTGCATTGCTGCCGAGTACGGCTCGAGTCAGGCCCCGTCGTGGCATGCGGATGCGGATGCGGTTTCTAAACTGTGGCTTGGCACTGCAGGTCCCCCTCTGTAGCACTCAAAGGTCGAGCATTTCGTCAGTCTTACGGTATAATATGGAAGTGGTATCAACCCCGGCAGGAAACGGCGCAAAACAGTGGCTATCTGAACTGGTACGTGCTCCTCCTCATGCTGAATGGGGCTGGAATGTGAGAGAGAGAGAGATGATAGGAGGCTTCGATTGCAGTGCAGCTGGGGCCAGTGACTGACGCTCGTGTTGCGATGCAGGGCTTGGAGGAACCATCGCTAGTTAGGCATTTGGACAGTCTTTTCCTCCCGACATCGAACCAATATCAATCCGTCAAGGGCTACAACAATCTGAATTCTTACGACCTCGGCGGGTCCTTCTTGAACGTGAAGCAGAGAGACGCTTCGCCCGTCACCATGAACAACACCTTCACCTCCACGGGGTACTCGTCCCAGTGGGACGCCCTGCTCAACAACGAACGCCCGGCCAAAATGCCCAAAACGATCTCATGGGATGGCTCTTTCTCGAACCAGGGCATGGGCAATTCCCTCACGCACCAGCCCCTGCTGCCGCTGATCTTCAGTCACAAACAGCAGCAGCAGCACCACGAACCCCAAATCCAGCATCAGCAGCAGCACCACCAGCACCAGCACAACCACATGAACCAGTTCTTCTCCCCCCAGCAGCAGCTCTGCCAAGGCATTGACGGCTTCGTGGCCTCGCTTCCCAAGCTCTCAGATGATTTGCACGACTCCGTAGCCCCGCGAACCCCGACCATGGAAATCGGGGGCTCCCAGGTTCTAGGCGGAGGAGCACAGGACACTTGCAACAGCGACGTGCACTCCGTCGAGGCTATGAGCATGAGCTCCACTTGCAACCGCGACTCGTCACCGATTGCCGACTCGTTCAGGGGCAAGAGGAAGCCGGAGTTTTTCCCCTCTCCCACCGACATGAGGGTTCAGAGGCCTCCTCCCATGGCCACCACCCGAGCTCCCTCTCCCCCGAGCAAGGCTACCGGCCACACCCAGGACCATATTATGGCCGAACGCAAGCGTCGCGAGAAGCTCAGCCAGCGGTTCATCGCCTTGTCCGCCATTGTTCCCGGTCTGAAGAAGGTACTTACTTCATTCCATGGCTTGCAATAGTTCTATGTGGTGGTGCCCATAGGCCGCTTGTTTGCGAGATGGATTCCATCTCGTTGACAGTTTGCGAAGCTCGAATTGTTGTGGGAGTAGGGTTCTATTTTACTCGAGGCTTGACGCTCGAAGCCCTGCTTGCTGCAGATGGACAAGGCATCCGTTCTTGGAGATGCCATCAAGTACGTGAAGTCGCTGCAAGATCGAGTGCAGAAACTCGAGGAGCAGGCCCCGAAGAAGAATGTGAGCTCGATTGCCGTGGTCAAGAACGGCAAGGACAGCAAGGGGTCTGGATCCGACGGCGAGACGGGAGCTGAGTCCGAGGTGGTGGAAAGCGGAGAGACTCCGGACATCGAGGCCAGAGTCAACGACAAGAACGTGCTCATCAAAATGCACTGCGAAATGAAGATTGGCAGCGTTGCCAAGTGCATCTCCGAGCTGGAGAAGCTGCACTTGATCGTCTTGAACGCCAATATCCTGTCTTTCACCAACACATCCGTGGATCTCACCCTGTCTGCTCAGGTTAGGCCTCCTCTACTGTTCTCTCAGTCTTTCGTTGCCTTATCTGATACTATATTGTTCTCGGGAATGTCTATCTCCTAAGCATTGTGCTCTAACTGTGTGTTTCTATCGTGACTTACAGACGGAGGACGGTCACGAAGTCACTGCCGATGAGATTGTGGCTGCCCTGCAGAGTTTTTTCAAGACGTTGTAACGAGGAACCTCGTGCGAGAGTTCTTCCGACAGCGACAAAATATCGATGATGATGATACGAAACCAAACGAAACATTTTTGGAGTCGCTCGAGCGTTGACATGCATCGCTCGGGAGGGCGGCACCATTTTCAGTCACTTGTATATGTACAGACATAAGGAGGATATGTGTATCTAGCTAGCTAGTTAGCTGCTGCTGCTGCAGAAGGTTTGTGCACTGCTGCTGCGCGCGCGCGCTCACATCAAAGTCGTGAAAGTTACCCGTTACCGCCATCGCCGGGAGGGGACTCGCCGTCGGCCGGCCATGTCGCCTGCTTGCACCTGTTACCAGGTTTTTGCCAATCTCTATTTGGCGTCCTGCAAGCTCGGGGCATCCGTCCATCGACGCGTCTCGTCTAGTATTACCCTTTCTCTTCCCCACTCGTTTTTTTGAAGAGGGCTGGTGTCTAGCACAGCCTCTTTTCTCAGCCAGTGTGGTGGATTGTGGTTCTTTTTAGCTCTCGTGTCTGTCAGAAGCTTGGTCCTTCCAAATCCTTTAGTGTCGGGACAAATTTCACATCATCTGCTCGTAGTTGAGGTTAGGCTCGAGTCATTGGTGGTCACCAGGCTTTTTTTGCGGAGCCAAAGTTGCTCTGTTCCAGCCCCATGGGGACTTATCCAGCTCCTGCTGCCTGAGCTCTAAGCAGGTTTTTCCGGGTTGCATGACCCTTGTTTTCGCCGATACTTTTATTTTTAAAGGCGTTCTTAGAATTGGAAGCGACCCATATCGAGGTGTCACACAAGAGAGCTAGAACATTGAATCCTTTGTTTAGTAGAAGGATGTTTTACCCTTTGATGGTCTGTAGTACTTCGCATCCTAATTAAACGTATTCACATATGTTTCTGAATAATTTTACACTTTCTCCACTTGTACGACCGATCCGCTTGTTCAATCAGAGTGATGAGTGCAAATGGTTTGACTTGAATGGCCTCTCGTCCGTCGAGTGTAATAAATGCGCCCTGATATTCATGACCGCTCGGCAATCTAGCTCGAATCCATCCATGCATCGATCCATCTGCCCGAGTGACACTCACCTACTCTCGCTCTGCTCTATACGACATGTGAGGTCGATGTGGAGTTGTGCATGTTGTGGAGCTGCTCTAAGACGTGTGATCTGTGGTCTTTGTTCGTAATGGAGGTCCTCACTCCCTCGACTACCACATCTCTCCCAAGTCGAGTAATAGCTCAGAGCTAGATTCGATTTCCTGATCCGGAAATCTGGGCACGGCATGTGACGCTGCTGGAGTTACCGCCAGAGACGACAGAGACGGAAGAGGACAAGTGACGTCGTGTACAGCGTCAGCGTCAGGCATGCAGCTTCCTGCCAACGCGTCAGTAGAGGAAGAGAAGAAAACGGAGCTCTCAGATTTGTATGTAGCGATTTCCCCAATCACTACTTCCCCGCCGGATAAAAGCCCACTGTCTACTGGAGCAAGTTTGTCGGATCCTGACTGGAGGTCAGGCGCAATACGGAGAAAAACAGAACTGTTGGGCTTGCCTTGCTGCGTCTCGAATGTGACAATTTTCTCTGTTCTCGGATACTGGCAAGCAATAATCAGGGTGGAGAAAATTCAGCATCGGCTCTGATAACAGCCCAGCACAGTGGTCAGCGAATCACACTACCTGAACAGCCAGTAGCAAGCCCTGGATGCGTCAACCATCTCTGCTTCTAGCCCTGGCCATGGCGCAGCCCCTTTCCTACCCCCAATGGGTCGGGTCAGCCAGCCATCAACTTGCAGCTAAATTGTAGGTAGGCGGGCGGGCGGGCAGGCAGGCCTTCGAGGTCAAGATCGCCTCTCACCCAACTCGGTCCGGTGAAATTAACGCTCTTATCGGTGCGGATAACTGCAGCTCCCGCTGCAGCCCGGAGTAAGCCAGGCACATGTCTGATCTTCGAGTCGTGCCAGCCCATTTCCCACCCCATACATTATAGCCCGAGATGTACTGTATAAGATGGACAGCCCCAGGTCCATGTTTTCAGAGCTCGACTCGGCGTAGCGAGTTACCAACGCCCGGCCATTGTTACCTGCACTGGACTACGCACTCATCCAACACGCCTCGTAGGCCCGGCCCCTCGGATTAGTCTGCTCTGCTCCAGATACAGGCAGTCCGGCAGGTAGCCGTGAACCATTGCTGACCGGCGGTCTAGAGTAGCCGATGGATTTGCGCTGTAAGACACCACTCGCTTGCAGAGTACGACCCAGAGTTAATTTGCCTCAGCCTGGAAAGTTGAAGAGTAACTTTCACTCCGTATGTAGCGCAGCCAGCCCCAGAAAAGTACGTTCAGATAGACTAGCATAGATGAGATATAAAATATCTTCATCTGACCCTAAACGCGTATTGAGCTGTGAGACAGCATGTATATTTAACGATGAGCTTATCCTCCATCGACGATATTTTGTTATTAATATCCTTCGTAAATACGAATATAGTAACATATCGGAAAACTTTTATGCAAAAGACTCAACGAGAATAGAGTGTAGAAATATTCTTTAATGCCGATTAAAATAAGGATGACGTGTAGTGGCATTCGTTTGGGACATGGATCCGTGACAATACGATCCCATGTGTTGCAGCCCGCCTTTTTTTGTAAACACATGGTTTTGAAGAAGGAAAGGTCGGTAGCTCGTCACTGTCCACAACAGCATTCTCGATTCCCGAAGTAATGATTTTTTAGAGGATGATACGGTAGAGTGAAATCCAATCTTCACACTGATTTACAAACTCCTGCACGTCGATGTGGCTTGCGAGGATGTGGAAGGTGCATTCGCTGTGTGTACTGTACTGGAGATCGTATGGAGATGTGCCTTGTGAGGTAGATGACATAGGAATTGACAGTGGCCATATGAATGCAGTAAAGGAACTCAGGGCCTCAGGCGCCAGCCAACAGCAAGTACACACCATTGCAGGACGATCTTGGATACATCCTTCTTGGAGGTGGATAAGAGCGAGCGAGAGTCCTGGTTCCTCGAATCATTAGGTAGGTACCGTATAGAGGTGGAAGTTCCTAGCAAACGAGGTCACGTACGATGCACCCTTCGCTCTCCTAGGAAGTCAGACGAGTGGGGAAAAGGGTCATCAGATTCTCATAGATACGGGGAAGTGGAAACATCGCAGTCGAGCCAAGCAGAGTTGACATTTGCCCTCTCGGCTCTGTGTTCAGCAGTTACTCCGCGAGCTCCACCGCTTAGCTCACCACTGTCGTCTTCTCAAAATGTCATTTGCCACTTCAAACCCCGCATTTGCACCTCTTCGCCCTCTTTAACTTTGCCCATGTCCTTTGTGCCCCAAGTGGGCCATCGACCAGATCTCCCAAAATCCTTGATTTGGCCGCTTCTCTTAAGTCTTAATTTCTTGCTTTTGTTATACAGGTCCGTGCCTGCCAATGTCAAACCAGATGTTTCATGGTACCGTTCTTAACACTTACTTCCTTGTCGTGCTTAGTCCGACTTCCCATCTACGACGAAACCTTCTCGAAAATCGAACCAGCTCACCCAACTAGTAATCTTTCACCTTGAGGGCCTCAAGGTTAAAGACAGGGCCTGCTTAAGGCCCTCAAGGTTCTCATGGACCCGATACACAAAATTACCTTCCAAATCTTACTTTAAACTTCCCAGATCTCAGGTGCAGTGAAACATATTTCCCCATTAACATGCTATTGGGCGGAGACCCGTGTTGCCCGTCTGGTTTCATCCACGTACGACTTGACGGAGGTCTTCGCATCCTTCCTGTTCCTTTGATATTTGGTACTTTTTCTCAGCCAGATCTGGTTCTAGAAACACTCCGTGCTAGGTAGACGTCTTCCATTCCACTTTGGGCAAGAGTGTTCCACAAATAATGCCGATGTTGTACGTACCGGCTGTGTTGATTTTATATTCCTCGCACATGTGACCGGGGTGGTGCTGATGATTTCCAAGACCATTTCCGAGACCAGAGCAGCTCATGAAAGACGACATCCGACGCTGTGCATGGCTTCGCCTACTGCCACTAGAGCCCTACAAGTGTCTTCCTTCGTCCATGCTTGAATCCACCGTTGGTGAGTCACGCCGAGGATTATTTGGCCAAGGATTAATATGCGACCGAGAATATTTGCTGACCTTTCCATACATGTCCCAAGAACGCCGTATCAGTTTACACTTGTGTACCATAAACTTACTTTAGAAATTCAATTGTATTTTCAAATCATATGAATCCTAGACAATAGACTTGTTCAAGGTAAAACGGAGCTCCCACAACCGTCGGTGAGTGAAGTTGGCACTCAGAGAATACTTCACTCGAGACCCTAATTTGTGTTATTTAAGAGCGACTACCAGCTCTCTTGTAAAGTAAGATTCTAACAAGTTTTTTCTTAATTTTTCTATTTTGCTTAGACAAATTTTTTTGAGTTACAAGTAAATATTTAATCTTGAGCGTAATACTAAAATTTATAGGATTGAATATGCTGTAAATTTAACCAAATATTTGATTCTCAATATCTTAGTTTTGACTGAATCTATAGCTAGTTAGCTGACGAAATAATCAAACAGCTTTTAAAAAGTTTTAAAGGACACAAATTTTTTTTATCGAAAATAAGATCCATCTAATTTTGATTAAATTACAAAAATATGATTTATAGCCTTTTAATGTTATATGGATATGAAAATATAGAAATATTAATTGGTAAGACTAAGTATAAAAAAAATAACGCAGGGAGAAATACATGTGAGAAAATTTAATCAAAAACCTACAAAAAATTTTAAATTTTTTTAAGTAAAAATTTATGAAAAAATTATTTATTCAATCATATTTTTAAAGCAAAATAAAAATGAAATAAAAAGAGTATGTCTTTAAAATAATTAAGAAAAACTCAAGAAATCGAGTGTTGCAATAGAAAAGTAACGTGAGTGTATTACGATAAAAATAATCTCATAGCTCAAAAAATAAATTGTTGAATATTTGATATCAAAAATTTGAAGCAAGATGAAATTTAAAAAGGATTATTTTCAACTAATGCAATTTAAATTTTTTATAAGTATAGAATATATACTAGAAGATAGATAGTTAATATATCAGAAGAGTATAAAGAAGATGATATCATTATTTCTTGTAAATCATTACTCAATAGAGCACTTACAACCTTGTTGTTAGTGATTTTTTGTTTATCACGCAAATAATGTATTGAAGCAAGACACATAACAATGACTTAAAGGACGTTGGAAGTAAAGATAAAGAGCTTTTTTGGTATTGAGTTTGATTTGGATCAATTATTCAAGTGACTCTTGTCCACATCGGGTCCATGATATAGCACATATTGCTAAACTTGTTCTCACTGAGTACTAAAACCCTTGCTTCCTTCAAATTTGCTTAGTTTTCTTTTGTATCCTTCAACTTTCATCCACACATCTCTACCGCTGCTTAGTAAGTTTTGTCCAAGACAAAACAATTTGATGATAGCTCAAAACGATTTGAGCTATCGTCAAATTGTTTTTGGATCCCACGATTTTTTGCAAAATCAAGATTATTAACAGCTTATCGAAAAAATGCAAAGAGCTCAAAGACATATCAAGATCTTTTCAACATGGAAAAATATGAAATATTCTTATGCGTTCGCATCACCATCATCTTTGATTGTGTCAATTACGGTAATCAAATGAAGAAAACAATTCAAAGACATATACTTATAAGTTTTCTGATCCATTAACAATGAAGTTTGATTCTCATATGAATGAAAGTACTACCACAAATTTAACACAAGTCATTATAAACAACTAAGATCAACAGTTTCATTTCATTGCCATTCATCCAACTGTCACAACCTCAATTATATGGACTTGAAAGCATGTGATTGTCTTCCAACAATAAGAACAATTATACGACACAATTGACACTCCAAACT